CTCTTACTCTTACGTTGAACAGAAAGATAGTGGTGGCACATTGATAATCATGTGATGTTAAATATGTTTTCCAGGTCACACAGAGTTATGGGATAATGATATAACAATGTCACAAGCAACCCCATTCACAATGAATTCCTTCTCTTTCACATAAGGATATGTTTATTCGTTTTGTCGCCCTCTTCAGGAAATACCTGCAGACTAAACTTTAGTCCAAAGTGGTTCTGAACATGTTTGGCTGTTAAACTCGTTTTATCAGGTAACATTTTTAGTCAACAAGTTGATCTCCTTTATATAAAGAAGCACACAGTTTGACAACATAAAGTCAAACATAAAGTGAATGCAAGAGAAGGTAACAAGAAAACCTCCAGTACAGAGAAGGATGGACTAATTCAACCTCAAGGTTATTGTGAAGTAGATCTTATAGAGAGACATAAACTCTGCTTCCCTTTGTGCTTTTCTTCCTCTTGTTTAACATTGTCATCATGATGTGTGTCGAGAACATTATTCCTGCAGACTGTTGTCTAATCAGTCAAACATTTCAAACAAAGTCCCCACTAACAGTGTTTTATCTCTAAGTCCTTTAACTGTAAATATGCAGAAAACATTTTGTTCTATATGTGTTTTTATTAAAGTTTATACTTAATTCTCCTAGACCAGACTGTACAGTTGTTCTTATCTGACTGTCTCTCTCTCTCTCTCTCTCTCTCTCTCTCTCTCTCGCGCGCTCTCTCGCTCTCTCTCTCTCTCTCTCTCTCATCTCAGGTTCATTGTGCGGAGGCGATGGAGACGTTGATGACTGAGGTTTCGACTCCAGACGTGAGTCAGACTTCAGAACATTATGACTTCATGAACCTAAAGCAGAAACAGCCATTGTTTCATTTCCCTTCACCTCTTATCGTATCAAATAACAACCTGTCACACACAATAACCTGCGCACACACTCGACCGCAAGCTGGGCTGCATGACGCTATATGTTCCTACATAAAGAAATACACATGATGTCACGTTGTGTATGCATAGTGTGTGAACTCACTCACACATGAAACACACATGGAGACATGATGTTCATTTTTTGCACATGTTTATCAGTTGGTTGTCTTAAAATAATTATTGCCACAAAGTCCTGCGTTGCATCAAACCACGGCCATCAACAATCATCGCCTTAACTGACCTTTACATAACATCAAACTTAAATCCTCACACCAAGATGTTCTCCTCAAAAACCTTTTAAAGAAATAAGTTCGTTCTCACTTGGTCCTCACAAAGATGGAACAAACACACTGACACACACACACACTCTCAGGACATGTGGACATAACACCACCGCCTGTGAATCCTGAAGATTGCAGCTTCTCGGTGACTCGCCGCTCAATACTGTGAGAGAAAACTGTAATTCACTGAGGCAATTTCACCCCGACATGGACACGGGTCTGTTTATAGCTTTAATCAGCAGGAATACATAGAGGCCTTTTCTGTTGAAGCGTCCACTCTTTGAAGAGATCTCTGCCTCTTTTCTGCAGACACAGATTGTTTCTTTTGTCTGAAGGAGTCAGCAGTACTCTTGATGATCGTCCTTTCTTGCTTTGAGAGATTTATTTTGCACTGCATCAAATAGAAAAATCGCATAAAATATCCTTTAAATCTCAAAATAACTGCTGCTAACCTGCTGGGCTACTGGTCTCCAAATAAAAACATTACATTAATATATATTTTTTTCACAACACATGGAGATTATACTGTGGTTAATGTCTGACAACTGAACTGCTTCATCATATTGATGATCAAGGCAGCAAGCAGCTAGAAAAGCATCTTCTGGTGTTGTGTTAAAGGAGGTAGTTTTTTGTTTCTTGCTCTCTCTGTTTGATTCATAAAACAATTTGATAATTAATGAATAATTAATAATAATTAATTAATGAATGTTGAAAAATTACCTGTAAACTCCCCTCCCAAAAAATTGTGCAATTCAGCAAAGTTTCTAGAATGAAAAAAACAAACCAACAAGATGTTCAGGGCTGCCACTTAACATGATTGTGTCCAATGTAAGCGGAAACCTGCAGTGTTGAAAAATGAAGCGGATACAGATGGACTTTTAAAACACAATCCAATTCTCTCACTAAGTTAGTGCCTCATATTTATTTATATGTTAATGTCAGGTCCATGCACATTTGTTGTTGTTGTTTTTCTGAAAGCACATCTTTGCACATTATTTTGCACTTATCTGTTTTTTTCTGTATATTTTGTATTTTGCATATATTTTAAAAGCAGTTTTATACTTTATACTTTAGCTTGCACTGTGGTTTGGAGAGAAACATTTTTTTGCGATTTTTCTCTGAATTTTCTGATTTTTCTGAATCTGCAATATGGAAAAATTGACAACAAAAATGACTTTGACTTTGATACAGAGGTGCAAAATACAGAGGTGCAGTTTGTCAAGTGTCCACATGAGGCTGGCTGCAGAAATGTCTGAAGTCACAGACACACCCAGTCAGAAAAGCAGTTTTTACAGGAGGAATGAACATATTTGAACAAATTGCTCCCGCTGCTTCGGTGGTGGTGTATGAATGGGATTAGTTACTTCTGATGGATGATACTACATAGTGATCATCACTACCATCAGTGTGTGAAAGGGTGTGAATGGGTGGGTGTGACATGTGGTGGAAGACTAGAAAAGCGCTATATAAGCTCAAGTCCATTTACCATTTACCATTTACATCCTGGTTCAGAGAACCCAATAGGTCTGATTGGCCCGTGTCTCCATCGCTACACACTGTTTTTTTAAATAGGGTTTAATAACTGCTGGGTGACCGATGACCATGCATCACCACCATCAACTTTGAAAATCTCTAAAATAGTCAAATCATGTTGTTATAAGAAACACTATTAGAGTGACCGAAACTCTGTTGATGAAACTCTGTCCACTTACAGCGTTTAGAAATAAAAATATCTCCAATAATCTTAAATTAAAATGTTTAAGCTGAGCTGAGCTGCCAGTAAAGATTTAGAGTGAAGTAGAGTAACTCTGTAACTCTTACTGTAGAGCTGGACTGAACGCTCCAGTTTGTCCTGTCTGCTGCTGAACTCCACTTGTGCTAGAAATAAATCTGAATCTGAATATCCCATGAAAGTAAAACTGCAGCCATCCTTTGTGTCCCCGAGGCCTTCCTGTAGCCGTACCTGATCATACATCACTGTAATAATCAGGTGAGCTGTTTGGTAATAGCAGCTATGTCCCCTGGTGAGCTGCTATATATAAACCTCAGAGGTGACCAGTCAAGCGTAGAGGGCGAGAGACAATGTTCCCTCAGAGAGAGAGAGAGAGAGAGAGAGTGAGTTATGTCCTTGCTCCTCTCAAGAACATAAAAGCATGTTGGATCCCCCTTTCTCACACACAAGCGGTGAAACAGTGTACCTTTACATGAGCTCCCCCCCCGCTTTGATATAAATAGATCTGATTTTGTTCTAGCCTTGCTCTTTATTCTTTTTCCATCACACACTGAAACACACACACACACACACACACTGCTCTATCTTGTGTAGGAGGCCGTGAATATAAGGTTGCCTGTAATGCATGGTGTAACAATGGAGAGGATGCACACACATCGTCAGAGTTACACACACACACACACACACACTGTACAATCATTAAATTACATGCGCACATCCTACATCATGTCCTTCATGTCACTCATTAGCTGTACAGCTCTGGGAGTGTAAAACAGGACAGAGTGAAGACGGTGACTTTGTGTTGTTCAGAGCGGCTCTCTCCTCAGGTCGGTTGTAAGAGAAGTCGATGAGCGATGCAGAGAGACGCACGGTTCATGGTCAAAGGCAGGCGGTTCTCTTCAGGAGTGGAAGAAAAAATAATTCAAAATCTTATATTTCTCTGTACACATTACCAACTGGAGGAAAGCCTGACCTATACTAAAAGATTACATGTTGAAAATGTGAGACCCCCCCTAATAATATAGATTTTTGCATCTATAGTATTTGGATAGAAAAGACATTGTTCACCAACAACCGCAGAGTCCACACTCTAAACGCTGGAAGTCTCATAAAATCTCTCGTGGTCAAATTCAACTTCAGAGTAAAAAAAACAAACTCTTCTCTGCTTCACTCAAACATACATGCAGAGTCTATCTTTGACAAAGCCTCTTCCTGCATGCGTTAAGCTGAACAGAGCATATACCTGGACAGGAAGTCAGACACAAGGCGCACAAAGCAACCTGTCCATTTCAAAATGGAGAAATGATTGTATATCCCATCGGTTTATCAACATAACCTTCATCAACATTGTGTTTTAGAGCAACTGTAATGAACAAATTTCCCTTTGAGACTAATAATTCTAACTAATTCTGATTCTGATAACGTCTTAAAATGTACATCTTATCCTACAGTAAGGTTAAGCTGACAAAGTAACCTGTTGTTTTTGTATGTAGTTCTCTTATTTCTGCATGACTTTGTAAATGTGCAAATCCAGTTTCTTTGACATGCGCCGTGCTCCGCCTCAGAAACAGATCCAGTCTGGTAGGATGCGCGCTGTCGGACAGAGCAAAACCAAGGTGCAGAGCGAGCATGGCACAGATTCTGTTGGGTCTCGGGGTAAGAGTTTGTTTGCCGTGATTTATCATGTTTATTCTCCTCTTTATTTGGAGCCAGAAGTAAATCGCTTTCACACCTGCAACAGTCAGGTATAAATACTCTGTGCGTAGGTTCAGTCTATAACTGTCATGTACAGTCACAGTTTGTTCTGTCTTTGTGTGATCGCATGGCCGCCTGTTCTGACTTCTCACCACAATCACTGCAATCCCAGATCTCCACAATTTCAGCGTCAGTACAGTGTTATCATACCTGAAGGGAATAATGGAGAAAGGAAGTTCAATAGATATGAATAAGACATAAAGGTGATAAACCGCCCTCCCTCTGAAGTTAATTTGGACGTGCCTCCATCCCATTTCAGATCGTTGGTGCCAAACAAACAAATACAAGTGGATGCAAAGTGTAGTATGCATAATTTATTATTTCTCACTGACATTGTTGCTGAACAAACACACATCATGAAGCCTGGTACCTCCTCTCTCACACATGCTGACATACAGATGCACAACAGAAGCAAAGAGAGCAGCGTGAAGGTCAACAGTGACGAGCTGAAAACACCTGGCTGAACATCCTGAACAGAGAACAGATGACATATCTGACATCTCTTAATCATATTTGAACACTGACTCTCACTTCCTGTCTGTCACCATGAGCGCACTGTGTCAAACAGGAGTTCTCTGAGCCTCCTCTGAAGGAATGTTAGCTTGTAATCTTTTGAGCAGTAGATCTGGATAAAGAACAGGAATGTCTGCGTGTAAAAACAGACAGTCTGTTGAAATGTTATCACCTCTTTTGATTGCACATGAAGACTTGGAGGAAGCATTTAGACCACGCTAAAGCTACAAACATGGTTTTAGAAATGTGAGATGCCTTTGTTGTGACAGCTGTGTTCAGTCTTTACGGTGAAACAGGTTTATATTTCATGTGCGGTACTCAAACCTCTGCTTTAGGATACGTCATTGAGTTTTAAGATCCAATCTTTGTTCAATTGCAAGAATGGAGTTGGGTCACTTTGGGGGGAGGGACTCGTTTATAAAGTTGTCGTTTAACAAAATGAGCATTTTTAAGAATTCTGTCTTTTGCACATCAAGCCTCGACATCTCTCGTGTTGTCATGGCGGCAGAAAGTTGTCAACATAATGCAAAATAAGACAGCAATCCAGCAATTTAAACGAGTTAAGTTAAAGATCCATCGTTCAAACGGTCAGCGTGTGTTCTGACCTCTGGATTTCGATTTCTGTGGAAATCCTGGAAAGTCTTCAGGATGACATTTTGACTTTACAGGAAATACATTTTTATACTTAAATGTTAATTTGTGTCCCTGATATAAGGAAACATGTTAGCAGCAAACAAAGAATGTATAAACTAAGGCAAAAGGAAGGTTACATAAGAGAGTTTGTGTTGTACGCTGTGTGTTACTAGAAACAATTCAAACACAATGCACTGTATGTAGCTGAGTCCTGACTGTAGTTAAAAGGCATCCGTCTGAAGAAGAATGTAAACAGTATCAGGTGAACTGTGCAGCATGTGTCAAAGCCCCAGCATGTAGTTTGGATTGAGAAAGAGATGGTCGGAACTATAAAGCACTTAAACTGCATTTGAATCTTTCTTCTTGACTTCTGAATTTCTGAATGTTTTCCTGTTGAACGAGGCGCTCAACACGATGTCGTTGAAATAACGGATAAACTGGACTTTGAAATCATGCAGGGATGCAGTCGGAGGCTCTTGGTTTCTTTGTCAGCTCAGTCGTATGATAATTTGGCTGTCTGCTGTGACACTGAATGAAGAAGAAGAAGAACCATTGCTCACATGACATAAGAGACACGTTCTTGCTATCACGTCGACACGCTTAGACGAGGTACTTAACGAGGCTTCATTATTTCCACCAAAAACATCAAATACAGTAAACACATTTCCAAGCATTAAAAAAATGTTCTGACCTGTATTCTACAATCATTTTTGTTACCCCTCCCCCCCTCTTCTTCTTTCCTATTTCAAAGTGATGCATATTAGTTAGACAAACTCTGCTGTCCTGCATCCTCACTTCGTCCTGTTGGGGGTCCATGCAGTCTGAATGCAAAGGTGTCTCCTCTCAGACCACTCAGCCATGCACAGAGGGTCTTATTATTCATCCAAAATAACTTCTGACACCTTTGGAAACCATCCAGATATCCAGGCTGTTGTGATTTATCACATCCTTGTTAACGACATCAGTGGGGGATGCCAGCTGGTATAATGGTCCAGGACTTTGTTCAGGACTTTGACATCTTAACCCCTTCAGGATGGATTCAATCTGGTACATATATCAAGGCTCCACTGGAGTTTAATCCAGAGGACTTTGTAGATCCACTGAGCCTTCATATGTTACCAGCAGCAGGTCAAATTAGCCTTCTTCACTTTAGCAAGTGACAAAATGTATGCATTCGGTCATTAGCACTGCTTGCTAACATTAGCATTGCAGTGCAGCTTTTCATTGGCTGACAAACTACAGCTTGAAGTAATGAAAGTTAAACAAACTCAAATCTGTTGGGAGTCTGAGATGTTCTTAATGATACCCCTCTGGTTATAACCATGAGCTCCACCACCATGAACTCTTGTTTGCCTGACTAGTGGTGAGGATCTAACAGCAGCAAAGTAGTCCCTTAAGGTCTCCTTGATGTGTTAGCATTTCAACCTCACAGCAAGCTGCTACCTTGGCTACAGACAACACTGTATGTCTTCTGTATTTCATCTATCTCATTCTCATCCTGGCTTGTTATTTAGCCATTTAGCGTAACACCCATCCTCTGATTTCAGCCTGCCAGGCTTAAAGATGCCAGGCCCTGTCGGTGTCAGGAGTCTCCCCCATCACCGCGCTGAGCTGTTTTCACCTCTTACACATAAATGAAGGTCACTTCTTAACACTGAGGATGGTCATCTGTAGACATTCCTCCTTCAGAGCCACCAGTTCAGTCTTATAGCTGCTTGTCTTGCCTCCAGCGGCGTACACACAAGGCTGCTTTTTTGCAGCGAGAGGCGTTTCCATAGTGACCGAACCGGCGTTAAGTATGTCGGCATGCGACGGCGAGGACGAGGAGCGCCGGTGGCAGGCTGCAGACAACAAAGCAGAGAGAGCTCGGCCGACATCGTGCCGAGCCCCCTCGTTGACAAAACAGTACAAAATGGGGTCAGCGACACAGTTGAGGCTGGTCAGCGCTAAAGACACATGGTACGCCGCAAACAAGGTCTCCTCTGAGCCGCAGTCACACGGCTTCCTCAGAAACATGACGCTCCGCACCAGGAGGAGGATGTGGTACGGTCCAAAGCAGAGCAAAACGATCAGGATCAGACTCAGTGCCAGCCGCTGGATTTTGGCCTTTTCCTGACGCTCCGTGGAGACGTTGCAGCGTATCGCTGCCAGGATCCCGCGGTACGCAACGAGCATGGCTGTCCACGGAGCGAGGAAGCCCAGAAAAGTCCTGTAGAGGTTCATCCCGGCCACCCAGTCCTGCATGGGGTACTTCTCGAAGCAGAAGGTGTGGTTGAAGCGATCCTGGAAGAGCTCGTCGTGGAAGAGTGGAGCAGAGTTGGCAACAATCTCGATCGTCCACACCATGGCACTGACCAGGACAGCTGCAGGAACATGAGCAGAGGGAAACATTTGGCTTTCCATTAGTGCTTTATGAATTAGAAACATAAACACAGCTCATAGGGACTGTGCCATTTACAGACATAATTATGCATTTCTTTAAATATTGAGTGAATATGAATATTGTGTATTTTGTGCAAAATTCTTAGCCATGAGGAAACAGTGCAAACAGTTTTCATCCAAAGTTATTTTCCAGTCGGGGTAAACTGTCAGTTCTGAAAAAGTCAGTGTGGTTGAACTTGTTTTATGACTATAGTTAAATATGTATCAGACTATCTCAAGAAAATCTGAAGACATTGAAGAGTTCTTATCTCTGCAGAAACTATGTTTCCTGATGTGTCTGGTAAAGACAGATGTGAACCTCTCCAATATCAGAACTTATCGTCAAATGTGGAATCTTTATAAATAGATCTGTCACATGTTAAGCATGAACTTGAGAAACTGGGACTTTGCTCTTCCTCAAGTTGTGTTAGTAAATTATTCATAAGAAAAGCTAAAGACAGTAATGTTCCTTTAAACTGGCTTATCTGATGTATGTTTACATCTTTTATTTAGCATCCTAAGAAAGTGTCGGGGATTTGATTTTGAGATACTTTCAAGTCTGACGCCTGAATTTGAGGTCATCGAGCATTAGGTGCAACTGTCTTAAGGAGCTTATTATTTCAGAAGACTCACTCTTCCTTAACGCTTCATACCTGTCTTGATTCGTCGAACCTTGGCAAAGCGCAGAGGATAAGCCACGGCCAGGTACCTGTCCAGCGATATACAGCAGAGGAAGGCGATGCTGACGTAGATGTTGGTGTAGAAGATGAAGCCGAACAGTTTGCAGCTCTCCTGACCGTGGATCCAGTCATCGTGGTGGAGGAAGTAGTCGATCCACAGAGGAAGAGTGCTGATGTAGAGGAGGTCGGCCACCGAGAGGTTGATCAGGTAGATGCCGAGCTCATTGCGTTGGCGGACCTGAGGGAAGTAATGTGAAGAAGAAGAAGGGACGAGGAGACAGCAGAGGAGGGATGAGGCAGGAGTGAGAGACGGAAGAGGAATGTCTAAAAGTTAAAGGAGAAAGTTTTCTATCTGTTTAAAGATTGAAAATCTAGGCTTGGAAGGATTGATCAGGTCTGACAGTGTTATTGTTTCAGATGTCTCATACAGATGGATATATTCCATGTTGTGAGGATTTAACTGCCTTAGTACAATGATGAAATACATGGACATACAGCAGCAATATCATGGGAATGAACAATAGTTCAACCTGTCCTCTCTGCAGCCTTCGTTGTGCTTTTCTGATTTTCTCAGTCAGTCGCTATAGGAGCCACTTCTGTTTCCAAAGCAGTATTGATATTATAATGCTAATATTTAGGCAGAACTGTCCATAAACAGCTCATCGGATAGGTTCATGTTTTCATTAATGATGATGATGGCAGCCCTCAAAGTACCTCAGAATCGTCTTAGGACTACAATCACCAGAGTGCACTTGTGACCCTCCCTCCCTCCCTCCCTCAGACATGGTGGGTCTAAGACGGGGCTGAAAATGGATGTGAGAGCATTTGAGAGGTGACCCTGATGTAAGACAAACAACAATCTCATGTCGGACTGTCGCTCACTTTTAATGATGTTTTGTGGTTCATGAAGAAATTTGTGATCTCACTTGAATGAAAAGTCAATAACAATTCCTCCTGCTGCTGCCAAAGCAAACTGACGGTCTGTGGGAAACCCTGAAGATGTTTGACGCGGTCTGGGAAAATATCCTCTGACACTGCTTACTACAGTTCAGTCAGCAGAGCACAAACTTTTAACAAAGGAAATCCCTTCTTACACATCAGTCACTTTACATCTATGTGCAGAGAGGAGGGGTTAAACAGAGACACTCAGTGTAGTCTGTGTCTTAAATGATCTCACTGAATGGCCAAATGTTGAAAATACTTTGATATACAAAGCTTTTAGACTGAATGACTTTGAAGAATCGTTGTTTAACATGACAAATAAAAGCAGGATCTTTGTATTACTTATCTTACTGTATGGATTTAGCTGCTGGTCAAATCTAAGTTCTGGTTTCCTGCACACAGCTGGTCTCTTATTTCTGTTTTCCGTGTGAGGAACACGTCCAGAACAAATCACCTTACATGATGAAGAGTCTCTATTGGGCCAGTAAGTCAGGGGTTTTTCTTTGTGTGTCATCATGGTGTTGTGTTTGTCTTCATGCAGATCCTCATGCACATCAAACATTGCTGTGTTGATGCCTTTTTATGTAGCTAGGTAGCTTTTTTAAAACCTTTCAGAAAGTGTTAAAGCTTGGCTGAGAGCGTTTTGCTTCTAAAGCTTAAAGTGTCATTAATGTTGCTATTTATCTAATGTCCAATTTTTTTTTTTTTTGACAATCCTACATTTGTTTCTGGATTTATTCAAAGTTTTAATAATCTGTGTTTTTTTTTTACCAACTTGGAAAATAATTTAAATTTAAACCCGGTTATCAGAACGGTATCAATCTGTAAATTTGAAACTTCAGTTATAGAGTTACACATTATAGGCAAACACTGGATAGAGTGTGTTTGTGTGTGTGTGTGTGTGTGTGTGTGTGTGTGTGTGTGTCCCTTACCTGCATGTAGGCAGCCCACAGGGCCATGCAGTTAGTGGGCAGCCCCCAGAACGATGACGATGATGTAGAGCGTGGGCTGGAAGAACTGATCCACCTTACTGTCCACATCACAGAACGAGATGTTGCACATTGTCCTGTGTGAAGCACTCTGAGTGTGTGTGTGTGTGTGTGTGTGTGTGTGTGAGTGATGTGTGTTCAGCTACCCTCAGCTCTGAGTGTCCCTCAGTAGCTTCACTATGTTCCAGCTCCAGCAGCTTGACAGTAACATGCCGACTCCAGCGTCCTGCTCGACCACCACACGGCCGTCCAACGAGGAGCAGCAGAAGAACACGGGACTGTCCTCTCTAGAGCATTTCATGATTCCTGTTCATTGCACTGTCCTTCTCACTGCTTGGTGTGTCATAATCCTCCCCCATGCTTTAAAAGCAGCCCTGCATCCCTCAGCATGGAGGAAGGGAGGAGAAGAAAGGAGGGATGAAATGTGGTGAAATGAAAGCCGCCTTATCGACACAGTGCCAGGCCTCCTGTGCCCGGACAGAGCCTCATCAATCTTTTAGAGATCAGAAGTCTGCCAGGTCTACTGCGAGAAGGAGGCGTTGAACATCTGTGTGTGCGTGTGTGTGTGTGTGCGTGTGTGTGTGGGGCGGGGGGGGGTGTGTCTCAAGGTCCTGATGACACACAAAACTCCTCTGGGGATGTTTGCACTAAAACAGCCGAATGACTTTACACAGCCTCAGCGCTCATGGAGCCTGCAGGCTGTCCATCTCATCCAGACGCCAGAGCATCTGCAAGAGAAGAGAGACGGAGAAAGAGAGAGGCTTTATCTTACCTGCATCATTTTATACACAAAAAGGACAATCTTAGTTTGATAATTGTTACAAAGAAAGTCAAGTTTTTTTTCATCAATGCAGTTGAAAAATGATTTACAAGGAAGGTCTTTTGCATTAATTTATATTGCAAAACACGAGTACGAGTCAGGAATGCAGAAAAAGACGGCAGATTTCTGAGTGTGCAGGTTTATCTCACTTCATTCTGCCCTGATTAGCTCGTCAGAGGCTGATCTCTCCAAACACACAACAAACTGTGTCACAGGTTTATTGGCTGAGTTTATTTCCTGTAGTCTACATTTTCTTTTTATGCACTCAGTTCCTTTAAATCTGCAGTTTTTAAGCCTTAAGGTATTTAAAGTGAACTCAGACTGTCCTGAATGGACACACCCTGATCACATACAGTTAAACCCCCTCCTTCAGATATATTGAATTCTGCTGCCCTAGTGGACTGAGATTCAGAGGAAATAGACGCAGATGGAAAGAGTTTGTGCGGCAAGTGCAGTGAAGCAGCAGAGGTTTTCTCAGGGTGACATTCAGACAAACAGACTTTCTAACATCTGGTATGATAACATGGAGCATGCTGACATGTGCAGGCAGGACAAGTCCTTCGATGCAGACAGAGAGTCCAGGTCAGCACGTATGATAAGCATTATGTAAGCCTTCACATAAACACGACCTGAAACATATACAGAAGAGAGAGAGAGAGAGGATGGAGCTGAGTTTCCGTTTCCCTCCCAGACTTCTCCCTTTCTCCATCCCGCTCTGCTTCTGTTTATACATCTTGGACTGATTTCATATTTTTGCATATGGATGATATGAATCCACATGTGCTTTCAATCTTTTCACTCAAGTATGTTCTTGGGAAAAATGAACTGCCTTCGTCCGGAGTTTATGTACACTTCAGCTTCTTTTCATTCCTCTAAGATCGATAGATTTCAGAGGAAAACTGGGAGTTTTTTTTTCTTCTGCCTGAGGGGAGAACTGGATGTTGCAGCTTTTAAAAATTTCAGTGAAATATTTCCCACAGAAAAACCCTGGATTGAATCTAGAAATATAATCAAATCACTTCAGTCCTGCTACCAAAGGCTACTTCTCATCGTGTCAAGCTTCGTACTGGGCATGGAGTGCTCCATGACCGTGGTCTTATTCCAAAAGTAAACGTTCACTTCCTGGTTAAAAAAAAAAGTCCCCAACAAAAGGGCCTCAGAGATGTCTGTCAACACGTAAGGAAACAGTTTACAGGTCTGTGAAGGAAACAGCTTCAGCAGCCTGAGATAATGGGACAGTCATCGGTGTGGAACAGTGGCTCAGGACAGAGACACTGCAGCAGCCAGTTTCAGCAAAAACACACACGTGAGGGGAAAGTGAGGACATTTGTATGGTGACCTTGTCAAATAAATCTTTGTTGGGGGAAACACACACATGTTGTTAAGATGACCCGGGTCACACCTCTGCTATAATCTGTTCTCATACACACCCAGTATACTGAAGGAGTGTAAGTTAAGGTTACAACCATCAACCTACACATTTCTGCAAAACTTTACCCAGGACAGGATAGAAAAGGGGGGACTATAAAGCAAAAGGAAGGGAAAAAATACTGAATAGATGGTGGGATATGAAAAGAAGCAAAACTAAAGATGGAAGCCAAATATGGAACAATGAAGGGAACAGAAAGATGAAATTGAAACTATACAGCTTAAGAGTCTAATCAACGAGTTCTGAATACAAATGCAGAATCTCTGGCCAGGTCACAGGATTTTTTGGATCAGAAATGATTTTTAGTTTTATTTGTAGTTGGAGTAGTATCGCCTGGTAGATTTTCAGCAGCTGGCGTTGGCTGTACGCAGGGAAACAGTGTGGAGAGCAAAAGGAGCCGGATGCAATACTGTAACCCAGGCAACCGTTGGCCGTCATGTGATGACTCTACAGCTTCAGTGAAGTGCATCTGACAATCCACTCTGGTTTTAAACTCACTCAGTCTGATTGTAAACAAATCAATGCAAGGAAAAAGGAAGTCTTGGATCAGGAGTCGTTCTGCTGTTTCTACTGGAAGCCCCCAAAAAGTCGATCGCCGGCACCCAGAGGCTAAATCATCCTTTAGAAGATGGGAAATGGCTTGTGAGATTGGAAAGACTCAAATCAAAAGAAAATGCTTCTTTTACCTTCAAATGTGCAACAAATAGAAATCTCTTGTCACCAGCTTCACCTGCAGTCACATCGAGGGAGATCTCTAATCTTCACAGCAGAGCGACAACCTCCACTCAGATCCAAACAGCAGCTGCCGATCACATGAATCATTGCTTAGATCTGCTCTGTGTGTGTTTGGACAGCAGGGTGTGATGTTGGATTTAAGCTCTCATCAAACTATGAGTAAATACAAACAGAGTTCATGTGATGAGATGATAACATTCTATCCTTCAGCGTAAGAGTAGGAGTTTGGCTTTTGGTATCTTTTGATTACAGTCGACATATTATGCTGGTCCCCCTTTTTAAAACTCACATTTAGTGCTACAATGCTGGATGCACATACTCAACACTGGCAACGATACAGATCATGAGGTAGTCGTACGTTGGAGTAATCCCAGGATGAGTCTGCAGTGGACACTAAACAGAACAAGCCGATATGAAACCAAGAATCTCAACATAAGCCTTTGAATCCTCTTACATAGGATCTCCTCTCCCAGCACCGGAGAGCGGACCTCCCATGGCAGCCCTCCCGCGTTCTGCAAGGCTTCAGAGAGCTGGCCAATCAAAAGAAAGTGGGCACGTGGGTAGGAGGGTTCTTAAAGAGACAGCAGCTGAGACAGAGGCCTAAATGAGGGTTTTTACTGATGTCAGTATAAAGCTGTTTTCACATACGCACTCCGGTAAATATCTAGATATCTAGATATTTACAGGAGGACTTCTCCGGAGATTCTCCCGACCTAGCCGTTCACATATGCTCTTCACAGCGGGGGACTTCCTCTGTCAGAGGGGAGGGGGCTCGGGGGATTTCCCGACGTAAGACGTGACGTAAATAAACAACGCGGAAGTAGCAGCCGAAGCAACAGAGTTCGCTAAACGACGTTTTAATGGGAATATTTGTCTTTATATCAATGCTATGTGTAATCCAATGGAATGACAACATCCACAAAAGAGAGGAGAACAACAAACTGACGAACAGAAAACAGAATGCAGACGTTTAATTACTTGCACGGAGATCGTAGTGGTCGCGTGCAGTAACTTTAGCCGGTCACTGTATAAACGTCATTCTCTTTTCATTGGCTGAAATTGAAATCTGCGGCGCATATTCGGCCGCGTTTAGACATCAGCTCACTCGTATATTCTGCTGATAAAATACTCGGGGTCTGGCCGGAGAAACTCCGGGTAAAGTCTGCGTGAAAAATGCGGCTGTTTGCGTTCACACATAGCCTAAAGAACCTCCGGGTAGTCAAATCTCCGGAGTTTTTCAGGAGATTTCCGTATGTGTGAAAAGGGTTAAAGTTAAATTAGAAGTTTTTTGAGCTGCATATCATGCAAAACGTCTCTTATAGGTTTCACATACTGACTGGAAAAATGAGCATATTATATGACCTTTCAATGGAATGTTGTGACCCTTTATTATAACTACAGATAGGCATAGTTATGTTTTCAGCATGCAGCAAACATCCCCACTGTTATCTTTGTCCACCCTGCCTCCAGAAATGTAGTTTGTTCTGTCAATTACAGATGTTTATCATGCAGCTTGCATGCAATGACTCTACATGCAGTTCTCTGTTGGTTTGGTGGTTTATGTGCATGTGTTGGACTACTTCTGAGGAAGAATATGTGTTTGTCCTCTTGGGATGTTTCTTTATACCGTCAATGCATCGCACAGAAACTCTCAGGCTCCTCAGAAGTCAAACTTTCAGCATGTTTCTGACTATAAACATGACGCTCAATCACAAAGACGTCCTACAGAGGGGGGTGCCTGTCGAGACCTGCACTGCTTTGTGCTCTTAAATAAAATGTCCTGACGTGACAATCATGAGTAAAAGGTTAAGTTGTTCATACCAATCAATGAAAGTATTTTAATCTATTTTTGAGTCCTGCATGGAAAGTTAGTCCAGTGTATCAGGAATCAATATGAATGTACAAAGATGAGCTTGCTCCATGTTTCATACAGTCTATGGTTTTCACCAGATTTGTTAGATTTATGCGCAGAAGGATATTCCATTGATGAACAGTTACAGTAAAAAAATGTACCAACAAAAAAAGCAGAGAAGAAAATCCCTATTTAAAACAGTTTTACAAAAGTCTGTATATCTACAGAGAAAATGCATGTACTGTAAGATGAGAAATACAGTTATTTTGTTTGTTTTTATAGAAATTAACACGGCACCATTAAAAAGCCATTTTATTAAAATAATCAGAAGTTGTAAAATATGGATATTACAAACAAATCCCTGAAGTTTGACGCATTTTCAGACGCCAGTATGTAACATTTAAACTGTTTCAAGTTTCCAGCTGCTCTGCCAACAGTTTCATTTCTGCTTCATCATCACTTTAAAATAATCACACGTCTCATCCCCTCAGAGCTCAGTTATAACCACGATGAATACACGGATCATCTGCGCCTGTCACACTACCTGCAGACACATCCTCACTGCAGGACCCTTATCTCTGAGGCTCTTCATGCTCCACTCAGCTGAACGTGTCACTGCTTTTATACTACGGGCTGTTTCACAGTCATCATCATTAATCCACATCTCTGTGTTTTGATCATTTCATTAAATGCTCTAGCTCTTTCTCATAAGGATTGCCTCTTTTAAAAAAGGAGCAAAACCGTCATTTTCAGTGAACAAATGTGAATCATCTTGTGTTACATGAAGTGCATGGATGTACTGTAACCGAAGCCTTGAGGCCACAATTCACAGCTGGAAGGCGGGTCAAAAGGTTTATTAGTAATAAGGAATTAGGAATGTGTGTGTCTGTGTGTGTGTGTCTACAATGGGGGCCTATATCAACCTGTTCTGTGCTGTCCAGTGCACCGCGTCT